CATTTTTGTTTACGTACCTGTCAATGTTGTATGTCGAACAACCACAAAGTACCCTCATGTAGATTTTCCGCAACTTCCATGGAATTCCAAAGCATATTCCATGGAATTCCATGGAATTTTTGTTCCGCAGAATTCTTAGGAATTCTCCGGAGTATTGGGACGGAACTTTTTTCGGAATGATTTGGAATTTTTAATCTAGGCTGGAAAACAGCGGAACAATACCAGAATGGAAATTTGCGGAGGAAATTCATGGAATTCCAGGATATTTGTAAATCTAAGGAATTCCATGGAAATCCATGGAATTCCAAATACATGTACAATGAAAATTGAAATAACTAGTGCCAAATAATTACAAAAAAACTTGACAACATCACAATTTTTCATAGATCAAATCTATATTTTCAAAATAAAAAAATTCATTGTTTCTTTTACAATGGTTTTTCAGACAAATAGTGCATATATACTCTCAGATGTACAATATAAGCACACTTTTTAAATGTATTCTCACTGAAAGTATTTTACATCAAAGGTTATTTACAAAAATATACAGAGAAGAATATGATTACTGGAGAATCACCTTAGTTAAATTAATGATAATCATGTTAAGATATACAGGTATTTAGTAAACTCCAGTCTGCATTTTCTAAAATAAGAAGTTAGTTTTATTAAATGACATTGGACATGGAATTGGAGAGGTCATTGAAACCTCAACAGAGTATACATTTACAATGAACTGCCAGTGGCTTATGTACTGGTACAAAGTTAATGACTAGAGTGACAAACACATGTATTAAATGCAAAAAATATGTACTACACAACTATATTGAAACAAAGATCCCATAAAATCAACAGATGCTAAAGTATTTTTCCCCAACGTACGTGCCAAAGATCCCAATTAATAAAGATCCAAAACTTCTGACGTGTTTGCTAGAGAATCACTTCCTCACCGATATCCCATGAAATTAGTAAATGATTTTATTATACCTCATTATAAATATTCTACACAACGCGTTGTCTGATTGGTTCTAAGTTGTCACGTGATCGGGCCGTAAAACTTCATATTTCCCGTCGTCGGCACGCTTTTCATCATATTCCACCTCTTCGGAACACCTAGTGAATTTTCCCGCAATATAGTTCTCGTTCGTCGAACGAAAACTCCCGAGAGTAGTAGACGTCACTGACAATAGCCTGGTTTACGTCACAAAACTTTGCGTTAACAATGAAAGTGAATTTGAGAGCGGTGCCGAATTTGAAAGTTTATGTTTATTTCAAAGGTTTTGCTTGTTTCGGTATAATAAACAATTCATTGCATGAATGTTCGGGAAACATGAAGACTTATTCAGCCAAGAAATATCATATTCCCCTCGGGCGAAGCCCTCGGGGAATATGATTTTTCTTGGCTGAATAACAACTGAATAAGTCTTCATATTTCCCTCACTATCATTCAATAAATGTATAATATTATACGGTTATAGATAATTGGTGTCACGAATGCATTCACTTTCAGTACGAAGGCTCAGAAAGTTGGATAATGATCATTCCAGGTCCCACAGACACTTCAAACTCTCCTTGTACAATTTCTGAAAGAAGAGATAACCATTAAGATGCATCATTATTGATATCCATAGAAATATATGACAAATAATAAACTAAAGCTATACAAAACAATTGGTTCTTTCCACCCGGCAAATCAGTCTGCGGTAGAATATGAATTTACTACCTTGCAATTTTTTGTTCAAATTAGGATTAATTGATTACAGTACATAAAAATCTACATAAATTATACAGTCATATTATAATTACTAAATTCAAAATTGCTTAATTCTATATTTGAAAAACTATTTAAAATATCAATGAATATATAGATACAATATTTTTTTAGTCATAAATAACATTTTATTATTTATTTAGTCGTTATCAAACTTACAATTAAATGTCGTTTGTTTTATATATCTTTAAAAAAGTTAGTAGCAGATAATTAAGATTTTCAACTTTTAGTACAATGAAATGAATACTATTACATATATTATATCTGTAAAATATCTTCCAGAGTGTAAAATATCATTGATACGTGTATATTTGCTATTAAGATATTACATTTCATCATTTTTCAGAAAAAAAACGTCAACAATTTCTAATTAGAATATTGAAGGTCATAGTTCATGCTACTTTCACTTTCTGATTTATTTTTAGAACTCTATAAGACAAGACACTTATTTTAGATTTTAACAGATACCTTGGACATTCTTTAGGTATATTTCAGCTTTTGACCCTAATTATGACTGTTAATTGATTAAAGTAATTACCTAATCACCTATTTGGCACCTGTACTGTGTATAGGTACCGTAATGCGAGTTCATTACGTAATCGTCTATGGCAGGAGGTGTGAACTGTTGATTAGCCTTAGGTAATTTGCCTTGGAACACACTAATTATTTTAATGAGTTAAAAGGACAGTAAGAATGATATTGGTCACTCACAAGGGACACAGGGGCGCTTGAAAGGGGCAAAGGGGCGCACTGGATTGAGGGCGGGGCGCAGCGCCCCTCCATTTCTCCCTAGCTGGAACACTGAATTCTGATAAATAAGTAATGGTTATAAGCCGAAAACTGTCCATTTTGTCAGATATTAGACGACCCGAGGCGCGTTAGCGCCGAGGAGAGTCTAATATCTGACATAATGGTCAGTTTGAGGCTTATAACTTACTTAAAACATTTCATCACTGTCGAACACTCCCATTGTTAACTTATTGGACAGTCGCAGGTAAAGTCTCGTTCTGCTTGGATGATTCATACGCTTCAATACCCCTATCTGGCACTGTCCAATTAGTTGGCCTATTGTGTGTTGGTTTTTTGTTTGTCGTACAAAAAGTAAACGTTGTAGGGAATTTGTCTATGTTGTACACAATATAAAAACATAATAATTCAATCACTCTGGCCTTGAAATGTCGCATTGCGACAAACACCAGCCCCTTTGCTCATGCGCAGATGGTGAACTAAATTCTGTAATTCTTCAATTGTCCAAAATTTCATTCATTTTTGCCCTGTCAATTAGTAAGGATGGATACACAGAATTCGTTTCGTGAACCAAATCGAAGTGATTCCGACAATATTCTTGACGAAATATTGAACGGCGAGAAGGAAAACAATGATAAAAATGGCAATTTTGATTTGAATTTTAAAACTGTTAAGGTATCCAATTATTCGAATATATCGGATTTTGACGACTCGGACGCAATTCTCGTAGAGGCCTCACAGAATGCCGAAATAAAAAAAGCGGAGTTTAAGGAACAGAAAACAGCAAGATTTTTGGCCCCACTTTCAGAATCACAGCTGAAAAATCTCAAGGAAAGCGCAATACCTGTGAACACAAGAAATAAAGCTAAATGGGCCGTGCGTCTATTCGAGTCTTGGCAGAAGGAAAGATCTATAGAGAAACCACTGTTACAAATGACAAATAAAGAACTAAATAACCAGCTTACTTCATTTATCACAGAGCTGAAAACATTGAAAGGCACTGATTACAAACCAAATTCTCTCTATGAAATAATTGTGGCAATACAACACCATCTACGTTCTAATGGAAAATTCATTTCTCTCTTAGATGACAGTGAATTTTCCGATCTTCGTGCAATTCTTGACGCGAAAATGAAGGAACTGTCTAAACTTGGTTTGGGAATTAACAAAAAACAGGCACTTGTTATCACCGAGGAACAGGAAAATATTATTTGGGAGAAGGAAATTCTTGGTTCTCAAAGTCCACAGCAACTTCTTGATACAATGGTTTATTTGATTGGACTTAATTTTCCATTCAGAGCTGGACAAGAACATCGCAATTTGCGTGTTGGAGAAAACTCACAACTGTTTTTGAAAACGTCTGCTGTTGACGGAAGACGATATCTGTAGTATAGAGAGGACATATCCAAATGTGCAACTAGAGGACTAAATAGTCGCAAAACGGTCCCAAAAGTAGTGAACGCATATGAAAATCCGGAATGTCCAGAGAGATGCATTGTATCCCTGTACGAAAAGTTTATTAACCTCAGGTAAATATCAACGTTTTACTACATTATTCTGTATAACTAGAATGAAGCAAATATCATAAACTTCAATTTGTATCCGCACTGTATACATTATAATGAATTCAAGATATTTTTTTACAGACCCAAGGACGGGAAGTCATCCGCCTTTTATTTGCGTCCGTCTAAATTGTTCACAACAGACAGATGGTATGACGACGCACCTGTCGGTATCCACCCACTTCAACAAACCGTTGCCAAGTTGTGTAGGATTGCAGGATTTCAAGGCTTTTTCTCCAACCATTCTCTGCGCGCGACAGCAGCGATACGTCTTTATTCAGCAGGCGTAGACGAACAGCTGATAACTGAGAAAACGGGCCACAAATCACTTTCGGTACGAAATTACAAGCGAACCTCTGAGGGCCAAGAAAGGCGTGTAAGTGATATCGTACAAGGGAGAAAACCAGGAACATCGAGCCCACCTACCAAAAAAGCCAAAGATGTGGATTCTTCAAAAGTGTCATGTCAGTGTCCGTGTCCAACAATTTCTGTGAATGTTCAGAAGGATGCGAATGTTACAATTAATGTGAAGTTTAATTCTGAAAGCTCGTAAATAATTCTCAGGTGATTTTCGGTGTTAATTTTCCAGGATTAAAATTAAATTTGTTTACAAGCCTTGTTTCTTTGCTTCTTTTTTGCAGTTTACCTGTGACTGTCCAATAAGTTACAACTTATTGGACACCTACAGGTAACTTATTGGACGGTGTGCAGAACAATAAGAAATTTATTGTACCGGGTTTAACAAAAGATGACGTCACAGAAATGTTTTAAAAAATATGATAAGTTTAAAGATGACAGACAACATCTGCCACTGATCAAAAAACTCACTTAGGCCTTAAAATTGTTCAGGTGAGCAGATACTGAAAAAGATAATTTCAATTCATGTGATTTTATTGATTTAGAAAATAATTAAGAAATCTGACCTGTTGGGGTTTTTTTTCATACAGCTCTTGTCCTTGTGAGCATCCGGATTCCTGTAAAATGCATGTATACTTCATAGTAGATGATTGCAGTTTGATATAAAATAATTATGCATGCCTGTGCAGTTAGCATGTTTAGATTACCTGTCAGAATTCATTGTTTTAAATTATTAGAATAAGGAATTTAAGCGTGTTAAGAATATAAACCTTTAAATTTTGTTTACATGGCAAACTTGCAATATTTTTTTAATCTTATGCTAATAGACATTGATTGATAAAATCAGAGTTAGTTTACTTGGTTTCAATGATAATTTGAGCTAGTTCTCACCATATTCACAAGCCTAGTCACTGATTGGCTAAGCATCTACATCCACCAACTTGTCCAAGTTACCAAATGCCATCGCTGTGAAGATCATCTCAGGCACAATGCAGCAACTATAAAATAATTAGAATAAGAGCTGAAAATGATCATGAACATGCATTAAAATATATAATTAATTACATGTACATCATACTCTGTAAATATTATCTTGAACAAAGGAACGTACAGGTAAAATTCTTCACATCAGTTCGATCCCCAACCAGGAAATTCGAGTTAAAATCCATGATCTTAAATTATTACAAAATTGAAATAGTGCACTAAAGATTTCACCGTCTGGCAGTTTTTGTGTGGTCAGGTGGTGTCCAGACTAATGAACAGTAGCAGAAGCATTCTTCATAAAATACTGTACAATATTGTACCAACTGGGACTTAAAATGTCTTTATCTTCTTCCATCCAACGCTAATCATGATTCCCCTGTTCTAGACACCCTCTTTCCAACTTTCCTTCTCTGAAACATCAACATGGCATTCGATATTTTTGAATTTCAGAGTGTTGTTTTAATTAATTGTTCATCGAGCCCGACTTCGATCCCGATGTTATTGTACTATTATTCGACAGTTAAAGATTTCTAAGTAATTTTCCACAGTTTTCCAGCGCAGAAAATGGCTAAGTTACTCATTTTATCATTTTTTCCAAAGAATTCCACTACTTTCCAACCCAAAAAATGTCTAAGTCCAATTTTTTTTTCAAATTCCAAAATATTCCAAAAACTTCTAGACACACTTTTCGTGTTTGGTATAGAAATGATTGGAATTCCATGGAATTCCAAAACTTTTCCAAACCCTTTGGAAAATCTACATAAGGGTATTGAAATACATGTTATAGCAACCATTACTGAAATGAGAAAGATTATTTTTGAAAATTAAATTCCAAGTAATCTTTTACATGTGTAAGTACTCAATAGAAGATTTACCTTTTCGTATTTCGACAATTAAATTATGATGTCAAAATCTATATAAGAAGTAAAAGTTTTAAGTACGGAAAGATTTGTTTGTGATATTTCAGCAACTCTGATCTACTAAATATTCAACTTCATTCACATGGCTTTGATATTCTGAAAAATTATGATGTTTATAATACATAACATACAGTTCTGAAGTCATAAAAGTATGAAAAGAAAACCTACATGTAATACAAAGGGAATCAAATATTTCAGAAAAAAGCAAAACGTTTTTTTTTTCTCGGTTTAACGTCCCTCTCGGGAAATTTTTCCCCTGTGGAGATGCCACAACTTCCCGGTGGTGGCTGCAGATAAAAACCTATACTCGACATATTCAGAGTTATGAAAAATTAAATTCTGCGACATATAGCCTTTGAGTAAAAGTTTTTTTTACGCTTTTTAATCTAGCGTTTTATCAAGGAATAGTTTGAAGCTATTAAATGTTGCGGTTTTTCGTCACTAATTACATAATTTATTCATGTATAATTAATTCTTTAAACTCTATGTATATTTTACTTAATTTCCCCCTATACTAGTATTTCTTCTTTTCCGATAAATTGATCTATACAACATACCTAGCTATAATGATTAAATTCTAAATTTTTGTGCAGGTATATTTGAAACATAGCTACATGTGTAAATAGCCATGCAGTAAAAGAAAATTTAACCTATAGATTGGTAGACTGGTATATTAAAAAAGGAACTCTACAGAGCTGAATGTGGTAATAAAGTGAAATAAGTGACACATAATACTTTATAAAAGGAGTTTATCATCGAATGTTTTATACATTATCTATGTAAGATGTTGCTTTGTTGCCAATTTTCCACAAATAAACAAAAAATAGTTGGTATAAATTCTATTGGATACCATTATGATCGAGGATAGACGATTGAGGTTTGTCATCATGGAGCACTGAAAAAAATAATATTTCT